GTACCAGTAGCAAGAATAGGCTGATGATGTTTATATTTGTTCTCGTTGGAGTTAATCCCGGAAGCATTTCTTTTTAGTTCACAGAGGCCTTATATAAATTACTTTTTACTTTGGCACAGCACTTAAGCTTCTGCTAAGACTGAAATGGGTTCGCATTCCTGACCACAAAAGGACAGAGATGAAATTCTACATTCACACCGCCCGCCAAGTTAGCCAAGCTCTCTAGGAGGCTGTCTGAAGTGCCTAAAATGCTTCCCTACAATGATCACCCAGAGTTGAGAGACTTCAGTGGAGTAGTGAGAAGAAAGAGGATTGGGAGAGACAGGAAAGCATTCTCTCCCTGAGGGAAGGAACTGGGAATCAACTGAGAACCAGCTAGCACTGCCAGGAGGTAAGGAGAGGGAAGGAGAATAATTTAAATGAGCCCAGGGAGCTTCTGCTCCCTCAACAACCAAACGGTGATAGACGGTCTGGCACCACCAGCCCTCGAAGCCTGAGAGCCACAGAAAATGTTAAAAACTGGCTTGGCAATATGAGTATTAAAAAATACTTCTTCCAACACTCACCAAAAAGTAAGCTCCCAATAAAGAAAAGAGTTCACCTGCCCTCCGCAACCCTCTACCTCCCTTCCCCGCCAAGATCTTCACCCAATGTCTCAACAGAGGGCGGTTCCCAACCTCACGTGACACAGCGGTCACGTGACATGGCCCCTGGGAGCCGAGGTGAGCGTTCCAGCTTCCGGAGCCGGAGGGGGCCCGGCGTACCCAGCCCCCAGCCCGACGTGACCATGCTGTCCCGCCTCCTAAAAGAACACCAGGCCAAGCAGAATGAACGAAAGGAGCTACAGGGTGAGCCAAATATCCTGTCGGCAGTTTTCTTTCCGGCCGCGGCCTAGCTTCAGCCCGGAGCCTGGATCTCGAGTGACTACCCATATCCAGGGAAGGACGCTAGCTAGCGGGCAACGGGCATGGGGGAGAGGGAATTTCAGGGCGGCTTTTTTTTTTGAAACTCCTTTCCCTTGCCAACTGGCTCTGGTCCCTTGGGCAATACTCCGGTCCCCTCGGCAACGCCCCTAACCCCCGACCTGCCGCTCCTCAGCCCCGCCCGTGCCCCGGAGCGCCCTGCCTATTGGCCCTGGGAGCCTCTCGTCCTGGCTGTAGGAAGGAGCGACTCTGTAGGGAGGAGGGTGTGAGGAACCCTCCAGAGATGGGCTTCTTGGAGGCCTGAAACCCCCGGAACGGAGGTGGGGCACTTGTTTCCTGAGTCCGGGCTGGAAATCTCGGAGTTACCGATTCTTCGGCCGAGATAGTGGAGAAAGAGTGTCTGAGAGTCGGGAGTCCTGGGCGCTGCCGCTGACTTCCTGGCGTCCCTGAGTGAGTCCGTTTCCCTCCCAGGGTACCAGTTTCCTCATCTCTAAAATGAAAGAGGTTGCGCTATGTTTTGCAAGGTCGTTTTCAGCTCCGGCATTCAGAGATTAGTTAAGAAATTTCGGCAACTAGCAAAATAGTAATGGGTGGGTAAGGAACCTTTAACACTACCCCTCAAAAACCCAAGTCTCCCCTCCAATTCCTTTTCCCCCTCTCCCCAGAGAAGAGGAGGCGAGAGGCTATCACTGCAGCGACCTGCCTGACAGAAGCTTTGGTGGATCACCTCAATGTGGGGTATGAACCTCTTTCTCATCAACACCAGTTTCCTCCTTCCCCAACCCGCCCAAGTTTAAGCACTGGCCAGTCTGGCCCTCAGACCGCTGTTGAAGGGGTGGGATGTTCCACTAATTCGCCTATCCTACCCCGCCCCTCCCAGCTCTACGTAGAGAAACTTGAGTCAACGCTGAGTCCTAGCACTGGGCAAGGGAGGAACAGCTGCAGTGGTTAGAGAAGCAGCCAGATTTCCTCTTCCCCACATTAACTTCCCTGACATTACAACTTGATGCCATCTGCCCACCTCCCTTCACCCTTCCAAGTCCAGCTGTCATTTCAGCAGGAGGGAGAGCACCCTCCTTCATTACAGCTTACCACCCTCTCCTTGCCTCCCACCCTCTGGCAAGCCTGGGGAGCAGCTGGCAGGAAAGAGATGGCACAGCTGGTGGTGGTGAGAGTAGAACCTGTTCCAGGAGCTATGGCAGAGCCAGGCTGTCTCTTACCTTCCTGCTGGGTCTCTGGGGACCACACCCTGCCCCAGCTCTAAATGAGAATGCCAGTAACAGCCAAAGACTTGGGAAAAAGCAAAGAACATTGTCTCTTGACCCTGAGTGACCCAGAAGCGTGCAGAGATGATGATTTGCTAGTCTGCCTGTTGGAAGAAAGGCAGTATGGTACCTTCCACCCCAGGTCAAGTAGAGCAGCTTGGTGTGAATCCAGAGACTGAGTCATCCAAGTGATCCATGCAGGGGCTGGGGTCATCTTCATTATTCATCATGGGGGAAGGTTGAGAAAAAGAAAGTTGTGGTTGGGGCCTCTGATCTTCCTTCGCTCCAGACACCTCTCTTTACTCAGTGTGAATATAGAAGCAGGTGGTCAATGGGGAAAACCAGGAGTTCAGGAACTCTCAGGGGAGTCTGTTTCAGTTCCTACCCCACCCTTGACAGTGACCCAGCTATCTCCCAAAAAGAAGGGACAGGGTCTGCCCTCCCACGTTGGCGCCTCCTGGGCTCTGCTGTGCCCATCATTAGTGAGATTGGCCCAGGCTTCTCCCTCTTCTTTTCCTTTGCTAGAGGCCACCCCACTTTCAGCTTAGAGGGCAGCTAAGCCAAAGCCAGATTAGAAAGGGTTTTGTGTTGCTGCCCACAGCTCCTCTCATTCCCAGGAAAGGAAAACAAAGGCTCAGTCTATCTTGGCCCCTGTCAGGTGTCCTGCCCACTCCCTCAGCCCCCACCAACCCCTTCCCTGCTCCAGCCCGCACACATTCCAGTGGGTAGGGGCACCGGATGTGGAATCTCCTGGCTGACTAGAGCTTTGGGGTGGGAAGTGAAAAACTCAGCAGCCAATAAAGGAGAACAATTATTGCGGGGGTGGAGGAGGGCAAAAAACATTGGCAGAAGGTTGGGGACACCAACCCCATGGTAGTAACGGTAACCACAGCCCGTACCTTGATTGAAAAGAAAAACTAGTGTCTAAGGCAGAAGGGAGGGAGCGTGTATGTGTGTTTGTGTGTGTGTGTGTGTGTTCCTTGATCTGTGTGGGCGAAGGCTTGGGAGAGCAACTGAGAGCTGAGGAGAAACCCCTGGGATATCCTCTTTTGACCCAGGGTTTCTGGGGAGGGGTTTGCGCTCCCATCCTACCCCAGCTTCAGGGAGGGGCCCAATTTCCCTCTCCAACTTCTTGCATAGATCCCTGGGCTTCCAATCACTGCCAGATGTGTCCCTCCTGCTGGATTTTCCCAGTTTTTCCATGCCCCTTTTTCCCTCCCAGCTTTTTCCTCAGGGATATCACCCCAGGTTTTCCCTCCCTTCCCCCACTCAGCTGCAGGACCTCCTTTTTGGGGGTTGGAGCTGGTATGTTTCTAGTCAGCTCCGAGCTTGGCTCTCCTGGGAATCCTGGGAGTGAGAGGAAGGAACTGGGTTTATTTGCATCTACTGGTAGTCATTTGCATCACATCCAAAAATGGCCAAAATGATGAGCCCTGATTCTTGGCTGAACTCCCACTGCTGCAATGGAATATGAGTCCTGGAGACCACCCCCAACTAGCCGGGTGAGCTCATCTCCTCCCTCCTCCAACCCCCCAGTGTGGCCCAGGCCTACATGAACCAGAGAAAGCTGGACCATGAGGTGAAGACCCTACAGGTCCAGGCTGCCCAATTTGCCAAGCAGACAGGCCAGTGGATCGGAATGGTGGAGAACTTCAACCAGGCACTCAAGGTGGGCCATACTCCCTACCTCACCACCCCAATCCTGGGTCCCCATTGGCTGCCTCCAGTCAGGTTACCTCTGGTTTAGGTCAAGGAGGAAGTAGGGTGGTCCCAGAAACCCCATCTATAGCCCCAGTGTCAGAAAAGGTAGAGAGAGAAAGAAAAGCAGTTGGTGGGTCCAAGTAAAGCCTTTTCCAGGAGATGAATAAAACGTATTCCCCAGACTGGAAGCCATACTCTACCCATTCTGATTCCTGGGCTCCCACCTCCTCTCCCCCTTCCCAGGAAATTGGGGATGTGGAGAACTGGGCTCGGAGCATCGAGCTGGACATGCGCACCATTGCCACTGCTCTGGAATATGTCTACAAAGGGCAACTGCAATCTGCCCCTTCCTAGCCCCTGTTCCCTCCCCCGACCCCATCCCTCCTACCTCACCCACAGGGGGAAGGAAGGAGTCTGACAAGCCTTGAATAAAACACAAGTCTCCATTTCTCTGTGGTGTGTTTCGAAGAGCTACTAGCTCCTGTGTTGGGGGTGGGAGTGGAAGGTTCAAAGGTGGTTTCCCTGAGGGACAGGTATCTTTTGGGTAGAGGGTGGAACTAGCTTCCTCTTACTGTCCCAGCTCTCTTCTCCTCCATGGCGTTTGTGCAGGTGTCTATTAGGCAAGCAGAGGGTGGGAGTTCCCATCCCTCCTGAGAGAAGGTCCTAGCAGCCCTGCCCCAAGCTTCCTAATTCAGGACTTATTTCCTACAGAAGAGAAACAAGGCAAGGTACAGGCCTGGTCCCCAGCTCTGGCTCTCTGCCTCTCCACGTGCTCATGGCCTCTCCCAGGCTAACACTAAGCAGTGTCATGAGTCTGAGCCAGGTGGGAGATTAATTCCTGGGGGCGCTTCAGGGCTGAGAAGGGGGAGGAATGACAGGTCCAGTAACCGTTACCAACAGAGCAGTGCAGCTGCCATCCTTGACAGCTCCCTCCTCCTCGGAGACCATGACATAGATGGTCAGGAACCCAGGCTGAGAAAGACAGCCAAGGGGTGGGGGGAGCCTAGGCAAATCTGGCCTCTGCCAAGTCCTGGCTTCAGCCAGGCAAGCTCCAGCCTCCCTGGCTCCTCCTCCTTCCCAGCCCTGTCCCCACCCTGTCACACATACACTTAATACGCCTGGCATCTAAGTCCACCCACTCCAGACTTTGGCCTTAGCAGTAGCTAATGTGGGAGGCTGGGAAGACTGGGAGGAGTCTCTTAAACAAAAGCAAAAGAATCAGCTTCGGGTGCTGTAGTACCTGCCAGCTTTCCCCCCAGGAGGTAAGTAGATACTGGGAGCTGGGGGAACTATGAGAAGACTAGCTAGATATTACATGTATTGCCAACTCAAAACTTTCAGCTTTTAACATGCTTCCTCACACATTGTCCCCTTTGATCCTCCACAACTCAGAGGTGGACCTGGTGGGTCTTAACCCCACTTGGTAGGTGAGAAAATAGGTTAAGAGAGACAGTGAGATGCTCAGCATCACACAGCAAATCTGAGGCCACCAGGACTAAATGCAGGGTTCTTGGCCCTATACATCATTCCAAACACAAGACCCAGGTTGCATATAGAAGGTTCAGTGTCCCTGGTTTAGTAGGAGAGAAAGTGTGAGGCAAGCAAGAAGATGCCTCTGCTCCATACAGCAGGTCTGTACACAGGACCTGGCTCATGTGGCTTTAGTTAAATTAGCCACAAATACAGGGTCTGCCCACATCTTTGCTTTGCACAGATGAGCCATAGTTGGCCAATTATCTGCCAACCAGATAATTTCTCAATATGCTCACACCAGATGCTTCCAGCTAGGGAAGGTATTAGGGGAAAGGGCTTGAGGGCCGCAGTAAACTGGACAAGTTTTTCTGCCCAGCCTAGGCTGCCACCTGTAGGTCACTTGGGCTCCAGCTATGTGGCTGCCTCTGCTGCTGGGTGCCTTACTCTGGGCAGTGCTGTGGTTGCTCAGGGACCGGCAGAGCCTGCCCGCCAGCGATGCCTTTGTCTTCATCACCGGCTGTGACTCAGGCTTTGGGCGCCTTCTGGCACTGCAGCTGGACCAGAGAGGCTTCCGAGTCCTGGCCAGCTGCCTGACTCCCTCTGGGGCCGAGGACCTGCAGCGGGTGGCCTCCTCCCGCCTCCACACTACCCTGCTGGATATCACTGATCCCCAGAGCGTCCAGCAGGCAGCCAAGTGGGTGGAGACGCACGTTAAGGAAGCAGGTAAGTATGGTAGACCACTAGGAATATGGTGTGGGGTGTCCTGATCCCCACAGTGACCCCAGGAGTCACCTGCAAGGGCTGTGGTAAGCTAAAGGGACTATTTGAGGAGGAGCAGTTTTCAGATGCTCCCAGGAAGAAGAGGGGGCTGTGGGAGTGCCTTACCTACCCCCAGCATCCTTCTCATCTCCCCACAGGGCTTTTTGGTCTGGTGAATAATGCTGGTGTGGCTGGTATCATCGGACCCACACCATGGCTGACCCGGGATGATTTCCAGCGGGTGCTGAATGTGAACACAATGGGTCCCATCGGGGTCACCCTTGCCCTGCTGCCTCTGCTGCAGCAAGCCCGGGGCCGGGTGATCAACATCACCAGCGTCCTGGGTCGCCTGGCAGCCAATGGTGGGGGCTACTGTGTCTCCAAATTTGGCCTGGAGGCCTTCTCCGACAGTCTGAGGTGAGGGGTACAGGGCTCTGGGTTCCAGGACTAAGAGCAGCCCACTCAACAAACATGGGCCAGCAGAGATGGTTAAGATACAGCATATTGGAATAGTTAAAGACAGTTTAAGGCTAGACTTCATGAGTTCAAACCCCACCCTTATGTAAGCTTTGTGACCATAAGTAGATTACTTCTCTTTACCCATTTTTAACGCATTTGTTTTTTGTTTTTTTGTGATGGACTCTCGCTCTGTTGCCAGGCTGGAGTGCAGTGGCGCGATCTTGGCTCACCACAACCTCCGCCTCCCGGTTTCAAGCGATTCTCCTGCCTCAGCCTCCCAAGTAGGTGGGGCTACAGGCACGTGCCACCATGCCCGGCTAATTTTTGTATTTTTAGTAGAGATGGGGTTTCACTGTGTTGGCCAGGTTGGTCTCTAACTCCTGACCTCGTGATCTGCCCGCCTCGGCCTCCCAAAGTGCTGGGATTACAGATGTGAGCCACCACGCCTGGCCTTGCCTCTCTCTCATCTTTAAACAATAAGGTTCAAAGTTCCATGGGAGCACAAAGGAGACATGATGAGGACAACAGGGGAGCAGGGCCTGAGTTCTTTTTGTTTGGTTTTTGTTTGTTTGTTTGTTTGTTTGAGAGTTTTGCTCTTGTTGCCTAGGCTGGAGTGCAATGGCAAGATCTCAGCTCACTGCAACCCCTGCCTCTCAGGTTCATGCAATTGTCCTGCCTCAGCCTCCCAATTAGCTGGGATTACAGGCACCCGCCACCACTCCCAGCTAATTTTTTTGTATTTTTAGTAGAGATGGGGTTACACCATGTTGGCCAGGCTGGTTTCGAACTCCTGACCTCAAGTGATCTACCGGACCCAGCCTCCCAAAGTGCCGGGATTACAGGCGTGAGCCACCACACACAGCCCAAGGCCTGAGTTCTTAGCAGAAGTACAAGGCGCCTAAGCTTAGTCCACCTTCTAAGGAAGCCTGCCTTTGTCACCATCACTCAGCAAATAATCTGAATGTCTCCTTTTGTCCCTGTCTCTCAGCCTGAATTTTCCAGGCAGCATCATGGACCACAGGCTTTTTTTTTTTAGTTTTGAGACAAGGCCTTGTTCTCACCCAGCATGGAGTGCAATGGTGCACTCACAGCCCACTGCAGCTTCAAACTCCTAGGCTCAAGCAGCTCAAGCGATACTTACGCCTCAGCCTCCTGAGTAGCTGAGACCACAGGCGTGTGCTAGCATGCCTGGCTAGTATTTTTTTTACAGATAGGGTCTTGCTGTGGTGACCAGACTTGTCTCAAACTCCCGGCCTCAAGCGATGCTTCCGCCTGGGCCTCCCAAAGTGTTGGGATTATAGGCATGAGCCACTGCATACTGGAACACATACTTTATACTTGGATTTTTTCTCCCCTCCCCTCCTGCTCCTTACCTATACTTGGATTTCTACATCTATGCCAGAGCAATGGGATGTATCCCCACTTTCCCCATCAGCTTATCCTCCAGCAAATATGAGACTATACCCTTCAATATCCAGCACTCAGGGCTCAACCCTGTGTTTCAGGAATAAGGGAATGGGGTTCCCCTAGGTCAGGAATTGGCAAACTCAGTACTCAAGCCAGATCTGGCCAGCTGCCTACAAGCTAATAATGGTTTTTAGATTTTTAAATGGTTACATTGTAAACTGTTATATAAGTACCTGATAATATCATTAATTTTGTTTCTTGGCCTGTCACGCTTAAAATATTAACTCTCTGGCCCTTTAAGAAAAAAATGTGCTGACCCCTGCTCTAGATCAAAGAAAACAAACCACAAAAATTCTTTCCTCCCTCTACCCCACTTGACCCTTGTCCCAGGGCAGTAGGTATCTCCGTCAAAACTCTTGTCCCTGGTCTGTGGTAACTTTCTCAGCTCCCCAACCCATGTCCCTCAAAGTCCCCTCCCTATAGAGCAAGAACCCAGCAACTTCCCTCTGCCCCCCTTCTAGGCGGGATGTGGCTCATTTTGGGATACGAGTCTCCATCGTGGAGCCTGGCTTCTTCCGAACCCCTGTGACCAACCTGGAGAGTCTGGAGAAAACCCTGCAGGCCTGCTGGGCACGGCTACCTCCTGCCACACAGGCCCACTATGGGGGGGCCTTCCTCACCAAGTGTGAGTAGCCAGGCCCACACAGGGCACATGAAGGGAAACAAGAGTACCAGAAAGGCCAGTCCTGCAGAAGCCTGCTGGGAGGTGGGTGGGGCACCCAGGGCAGAGTTGAGGGTGAATGGGATGCCACAAGAGTGCCCAGGCCATGTGGAACCTGCCTACTCCCCACACTGAGGAGGGGACTGAGGGTGACAAGCCCAGGGCCCCAGAAGACAGTACCTAAGATGGGCTGGAGTGGGGAAGGGAAACTGATTGCAACCACCTATGGGGTGCAGACCTGAAAATGCAACAGCGCATCATGAACCTGATCTGTGACCCGGACCTAACCAAGGTGAGCCAATGCCTGGAGCATGCCCTGACTGCTCGACACCCCCGAACCCGCTACAGCCCAGGCTGGGATGCCAAGCTGCTCTGGCTGCCTGCCTCCTACCTGCCAGCCAGCCTGGTGGATGCTGTGCTCACCTGGATCCTTCCCAAGCCTGCCCAAGCGGTCTGTTGAATCCAGCCTTCCAGCAAGAGATTGTTTTTCAAGGGCAAGGACTTTATTTCTGCCCCCACCCTGGTACTGCCTGGTGCCTGCCACAAAATAAGCACTAACAAAAGTGTATTGTTTAAAAAATAAAAAGAAGGTGGGCAGAAATGAATGTGCCCAGTGGAAGGCTGACCCCATTTAAGTGCCAACTACTACAAACCGACATGCTCACGGTCTGTGGCCTCTTTAGTGCCTGCAAAACAGCTAGCACCCACAGTGGGGCACCAAGGAACTGCCTCACATCTACAGCTGCACCTCGAGGAGTGGCCATCAGAGGGCACTTTGATACATTTCCCTTATTTTCTGAAGGGGAGTAAGGTTGCAGTTCAGTGTCTGTACTGGGAATGGTCTTTATATTTCTTGGGGGAGAAAAGCAGGTGATGAAGAGGGGTCGAGGCCACGCTGGGTGGCTTCCATGGAAGAAAAGGCAATGTTCACATAAATTCTCCTGCTAAGGACACTGGCCACACAGGTGTCAAGGCAACTTAACCACACTTTGAAAGGAGCCGCCGGGCACGGTGGCTCACGCCTGTAATCCCAGCACTTTGGGAGGCGGGCGGATCACGAGGTCAGGAGATCGAGACCATCCTGGCCAACACGGTGAAACCCCGTTTCTACTAAAAATACAAAAAATTAGCCAGGCGTGGTGGTACGCGCCTGTAGTCCCAGCTACTGGGAGGCTGAGGCAGGAGAATGGCGTGAACCCGGGAGGCAGAGCTTGCAGTGAGCCGAGATGCGCCACCGCACTCCAGCCTGGGTGACAAATGGATGCCTTGAGGATTGACCAGGAAGGGAGGTGCCGGGCCCTTAGCGGTGCACAGAAGGCCAGGAAGATGTCCAAGGCAGATGTGGGCTGGGCTCTCCCAGGTGAGACCTTTCTGGGGAGCTGCTTTGACTTACGTAGCAGATGGCTTCGTGAATGTTCATAGTGAGCCTGGCAGCGTAAGACTAGGGGGCAGAAAGCACTACAGTCTCTGGATCCTCACTTCTCCCACTGCCTGTCCAACCAACACCTTCAGCAAAGTCCTCCTTTCCCAAACACCCCCCAGAATAGACCTTCTCGAAGTACACATGCAGTAAGGTCCCAGAGGACAGGCAACATGGGTAAGGAAAGGAAGGAATCAAGCATCACTCTAAGACAAACTCAGACCATTTCTCTTTTCGGTCTGAAAAAATAATCCGTTTAATTGAAAAACCTGGAGGATACTATCCACTCCCCCAGATGAGGAGGCTGAGGAGACCAGACCCCTACATCACCTCGTAGCCACTTCTGATACTCTTCACGAGGCAGCAGGCAAAGACAATTCCCAAAACCTAGAAGGAAAGATAGGGATGGGGATGGAGAGGAGTCAGAAGGGCCAGCTACCCGAGACCCATGCAAGAGACTCCAAACACACACTCCCAGGTCAGTACCTCCTGCTCAGCACCCTTCTCCCCTCGGCCCCTATCCTCCAGGCACCCTGGATTGAGTCCCAGCCCTCTCTCAGGGTTATCTCTTACCTCAACAAAAGCAATTCCAAGAGCTGCTGCAGCCACCACCAGCACATTTTTCCTCAGCCAGCCCCCAATCTTCTCCACACAGCCCTGAAGGGTGGCAAGCACAAAGGATAAAAGCACCATCAGAAACTTCCCACCCCAATCCCCTCCCCTGGTCCATCAATCTCTTCCCTGCCCCGGTACCTTTCACCCCACCCTTACCATTTCCAGATCCCCTCCCCATCCCTGACGCTGTCCACCTCCATCCTGGGTCTCTTGCCTTCTAAAACATTTCCCAGGTTTTCCAAGTCCCATACACAGTTTCCTCCCTACCTCCTTATGGATCGCCTTCTCGTTGAAATTAATCCCACAGCCCACAGTGACATTAATGCAGCAGGAGTCAGGGACTCGGTTCTTCGACATGGAAGGGATTTTCTCCCAATCTGTGTAGTTAGCAGCCCCACAGCACTTAAACTGGGATAGGGAAGAAATATGGAGAAGGGAGTTAAGTGAACTTTCACCATCAATATGGAGATGAGAATTCTTTTTTTTTTTTTTTTTTTTTGAGACAGACTTGCTCTATTGCCCAGACTGGAGTGTGGTGGCTTGATCTCGGCTCACTGCAACCTCTGCCTTCTGGGTTCAAGCGATTCTCCTGCCTCACCCTCCTGAGTAGCTGGGATTACAGGCACTCACCACCACACCTGGCTAATTTTTGTATTTTTAGTAGAGAAAGGGTTTTGCCATGTTGGCCAGGCTAGTCTCAAACTTCTGACCTCAGGTGATCTCCCCACCTCGGCCTCCAAAAGTGCACAGGTGTGAGCCACCACACCCAGCCTTGGAGATGAGAATTCTCTATTCCCATCACCCCTGCTCCCAGCAACCCCACTCACATCTGCCTGCATCCTGTCCAGGATTGAAGCAGTGTGGTTGTTTTTCGGGTAATTCTCCATCTGCTGCCGGAAGTTGTTATTAAACTCTGACATCACCTGAGGGTACGGAGGAGCACTGTTGCCGTCAGAATTCAAGCACCTGGGTCCCAGACCAGGCTGAGGCAGGCCCTTCCCATTATTCCCTGCTTACCTTATCTCTAAACACATAGCCAGCAATGGCTGCGGCCACCTCCACCAACATGATAAGAGACAGAAAGATGGCAAACTGCAGGAGCAAAGGACAGGAGTCAAGTTTGGAGTCTATGCATTACAGGGGCCCGTTCTGGCATAGCCGGTCCCTGCACACTCACAAAGGTCTTCCTCACTCACCCACCTCACCTCACCCACCTTCCTGAGCACCAACCAAGTTGCTCTGGCAGTCCCAGACCACCCATGTTAGTCCCGCCTCCCACTCACCGTGATCATAAGACAATAGTTCTCCTTGCAGGCCCCGCAGCAGCCCACAAAGGCCACGAGGAAGAGGAAGACACCCACTGCGATGATGACCACAGGCAACAGAGAGCCAGGGGTAGCCCCCTGGATTATGGTCTGACTCAGGACAAGCTGTGCCCCGACACCCACAGCAATCAGTCCCACTGCACAGGCCTAAGAGGAAAGCAGGTGAGGATTAGGCCTGATCCACAACACAGTGGTCCTCCATGGTGGAGGGCACCTAGGACACAGACATGACCCCATCTGGAGGAGAGATTCTCACACCTCCAGGGAACTTCTCTGGCTGTAGGGAAGGGGGATGACCCATCCTTGCCTGCCCCCACCTCCCTTGATCCCCTCCCAGCTCTTCAATCAGGGACGTGACCAAATTCAAAGACCTCCCAGAAAGCCTTGACCCCAAGGCACGTATTTCTGACCTAGAATAATGCTTTCTACGGGCCTCCAGGACTCCCAGCTCAATTCTCTCCCAGAACTGCTCCCTCACTATCCTCCAGTACACACCCCACGCGCATCAGCTGTGACTGAGGTTCCTCTGGCCAGTTAAGCCAGGAGAAGGGAAGAGGAAAAGGGGGCAAGAGTGATGTGCCCCTCCCTAGACAAACAGTAGCCTCTCAAGCCAGGAGCCCAGGACAGGAGCAAATTGAGGTGGGCAGAGCCCTTCCTCACTCCCAAGCGCTGGGAGGACGGAAAGGGGGAGAGGGACTGGAGAGGGATGAGGGGGTTGGGGAGGAAAAGAGGGGAGAAGGGAGAGTGAAGGGAAGCCTCGTGGCGATAGCATCAGGCGGTTGGCTGGTTGCCCCACTGCCCCATATCACAAGTGGTTGGGTCACCAGACAGGAAGGGCCAGGCAGGAGGGATGGGGGTAGGGGTTGCTGCACACCCAGGATGGCCATTCTCGGTGGAAACAAGCCTCAGGTGTCCAGGAAAACTGGAGGAGGGAGTGGCCGCGCTGTCTTTCCCTGGCTTTCTTTCCACATCTGGTCTCCAGCTGCCTTAATTCTTATTCCCTCAGCCCTCACCACTGTGGAGCCAGGTCTCCCCGCACCCTGCCGGCGCGCCCCCCAGGACCCCTCGCCACTCACGCAAAAGGCCAACAGGAGGACGTAGAGCAAGAACTTCACACATTTCATTCCTCCTTCCACCGCCATGGCTGCCGGGCCTGGGGCAGAGAGGAGGGCGGGGGGATTAAAACTGGCCGAAGGGGGACCTCGGTTTCCGGGCTCCTGGCCGGCCCTCGAGGGCTTCCCTACACGGCCCCGATTCCCGGCCCCTCCCACCCGGAAACCCGCGGTCGGAACCACGTCTCCCAGCCCCCTCTCTACCCGCAGGAGAGGGGTGGGGGCGACCGCCGCGAAGCCCGGAC